GGAGATGCTATTTAATTGGAAACCACGTAGTTTATTCTTAAAAATTAAACTGGAGGAAGAACGAAGCAAAAAACAAACAAGCAAACAAACAAAAAGCCCACAGATAAATACAATCATAAGGCCATTTTCTTCATCAGCTTATAACAAAGGCACAGGCTTTTAAGATCACACCCGACCTGTTAATTTCACATAAAGGGTGTTAAGCACACGGCGCTGCTCCACAGCAATCTGTACTACAGTCAGCCTCCAAACACGCCTTCTGTTAATTTGTGACACTGCATATTTTGCAACTCAAGAGCAAAGAAAACCATCACAGTAGAAGCAGTTCATTCTGTCTCCAGGTGCCTCATGAATATTAAGTAGGAGCAGCTACGACCTGCTACACAAAAACTTCACAACTCTGCGGGGAAACTGCCCCTTTGCGAAATTCACGGGGCACTCACGGACGCGGGAAGGGACCTCGGCACCCCTCAGCGGTGGCAGGCGCAGCTCCTCGCCACACACCACCTCCAGGACCCGCTCCCCGACCCCCTCTAGCAACCACTCGATCAGGAGACGCCCCTTTCTCCCGAAGGGCTCCGGGAAGGCAACGCCGCAACCCCGTCGCCCCTGTTCTGTGCCGGCAGGGCAGCTGCGCGCCGCCCCGCCCCGGCGCGCTCCCTCCACACCTCCGCCCAACCCGGCTCCCGTCCTGCCGGCCACAGCCGCACCGCGGATCCCAGAGAGCGACTTCAGCCGGGGCAACCCGGAGACGGGACCAGCGGAAACTTCGCGGCCGGGGCGCCCCTCACCTTGATGATGCTGCTCCTCCGTGGGGTGGCCTTGGCCGCTTCCAGCAAAGAAGTATCAGGGTCGGATGCCGCCGGCGGCCCCAGGCTGCCGCCGGGGAAGCGCTCAGCGGTACCGACGGCCGAGACACCGCTGCGGCGCTCCCGCCTCCTGCCTGCGGCTGCCGCTGGGGCGTCCAGCGAAGTCGACTCGGACTCCTCCTCGGCACGATGAGCGGCGTCAGGGGGAGCCCGGTCGGCCGCCGGTTGCTCTCTGCTGCCAGCAGCTTCTGCCATCGCCCCGCCGAGCGGTGTCAACTTCTCCGGTGCGCTGTGAAGGCGGGGTGGGAGGACACGCACACGGAGGGCGTCCCGCGGCGCTCCCCTCACGGCACGACGGCGGCGGCGGCGGCGGCAACTTTCTCCGGTGGAGCCATGCCCGTCCCCCACAGACTCCGCAGCACCCCCAGTGCGGGGACCACGGGGAGCGGGGCGGGCGCGGGTAAGCGCCGCGCGATGGGCGAGCGCAGGAAGTGCCGCCGCGGCGGCGGCGCCGCTCTGTTGTGACAGCGGCCGGGCGTGTTTTGACAGGCGGCGGTGACAGACGGGGCGCTGAGCCACTCAGCGCTGCCACGGCCCCCCGAGGGGCGCCGTGCTAGCCAATGGGTTTCGTGAGGGGCGTGTCCGCGGGACGCCTGGATGGGCGTTCTGGGCGGTGCGCGGCGGCGAGCTGCTGAGGGGCAGGTAGGGCTGGGGGTGAGCGAGCAGGGCGAGTTGTGGGACTTGATGGCATCCACCGCGGCGCCGAGAGAAAGGGCGCAGGAGGGACCGTTTTGTTCTTCCTCTCCCCCCACCGTCTGTGGGGAGCGCGTGTGCGTGCCGGGACAGCCGAGTCAATGCTTCCCCGTGCATTTTGGGGCAGCACCCGTGTCAGGGCTGGGGCAGCCTGTGAGGAAAAGAGGCTCATGTTAACCCCGCGCAACCGCGGAGTTCCCCTGGAGGTACTCGCACTGGGAGCGCAGCCGAGCTCAGCCGAGGAGACGAAGGGACGGTGCCGGGCTGCCGGCGCGTTGTTACGAGGGAGCGCTGCCGCCCCTGCGCTGATGGTGGCGGTGGGAGGAGACGCGCCCAGGCCCCGGTTGCTGCGGGTGGGTCAGCAGAGCGGGATGAGGCGTGAGGGGCGCCTCACAAAAGGCAGCGAGGTACTCACGTTGGGACCCTCCGGCGCTTGAAAATGAGCCCGAAACAAGGCGGCCTGTGGCTTGGCCGCCTGCTCCTCTCAGGGCCCCCCCCTCACGGCCTCCGGCCCGGGGCAGCGCTTGCACCGCCGCGCCCCTCAGCTCCGAGCCCCTCAGGGTGGCCGGCGCGCTGCGCCCGCCGTTACAGAGCCAACACCGCCCCCTGGCGGCACGAAGCGGCCGAGCCGGAATAGCCGGTCCCGCAACGCGGTCCCGGACGGGAGGCGAGGAGGAGCCCTCCGGTAAGGGTTATCTCTCTCCTGGCAGCCAGGCCATGAGCTGTGGTGAGCCGTGAAGAGTGAGTACGAGCACGAGCGTGGTGCTGCCCTTCACAGTTTTCCAGGTGGGGTTTCGTTATAATGAGGTTATCTACGTGAGCATCTCGGGAAAGATGGGGTAGAGGGGACTGCAGCGAGGGTAAAAGTGTGGGGAAGGGAAAGCAGGAAAGGCAGTCGAGAAACAGGGATTATTATATTGAAGGATGGAAAATAGGAGGCATAGGGCTGGGCATGCTGACAGTCACTGGAGGCATAAGACTACTCAAAATTAGCTATCGGCTTTAAAGCAGTAAGACTCAGTGGAAAATTTCCTTTCTCTTTGGTTTCTAAAGTAATTTCCTAATGAAGGTGTTGGGCACCTGTTGGCAGTCAATGATTAAACAGGAAAGAGTAAGAACCTCCTTACCCCAGCCAGTCATTAGCAACTAACAAATGCCTAGCTTCAGGACATAATTGCCACTTAAAGGATGTGAATTTTTATATATGTACACAATGTATAATATACAATTCCATATAAAATCCCAGAACTTCTTTCAAGGTTACAGAGGCATTTATCATATTCAACTAAATACCACTGAGCTTTCTTTTTCCCATGAGCTTCCATCTAAATTTGATGTAAGAAATGTCATGATACGTGTATAAAACAGTTGTCTTGTTGGGAGGGTTTTTTCAGTGAAAAGGCCAGAAAATAACTAACCCAGAAAAAAGATACAAAATATTCACATCGAAGAAACATTTACCTTAAGAAAAAAAAACCTGGAAAAAAAAGACTGGTAAGAGAAGAGAGGACTCAACCCCAGCCTGCATTGTACAAGAGAGAGAACATGATATTAAGTTATTGCAACAAAAGGAGGGGAGGAAGAACTAATAAAAGCTTTTAGCTACATCTTGACATACTGTCACACAGCCTGACCTAAGAAGACTAATTTAAAGGCAATGGAAAAGGTAATTACCATGCAGTATATTATTAGAGAGTATATATCATGTAGAAATATGTCGCAGCTTTTTAATATATTTTGTGAAACCGTATGAAGTTTAATCGCCAGTTTAATTATTTCGGAACAGCAAAGTACCCTCATAGCTGGAATCTGCTGCATCCACTAGAAACTATTTGTAGCATGTTGCACTGGCAGATGCATATAACATACTAAAGATGTTATAGTTAAAGATTAAATGTCTTAAACATTTCAAATTAGGTATTTGTTGTTAAATGCATTTGTCTGCTGAAATAAAAAAATTAAGATCATTTAATTCTCACCTTAAATTACAACCTTGACATGTGAAGCCATTATCTGAAAAGGGTCTATAAGGAAGCTACAGATTTTAAGTTTCATAAACATCAAGCCTCCAGGAAACACGAATCATATTTGTTTTGTTCACAAAATGCACAGGTTTTATAATTATGCATGGTACAGCTAAGAGAGAGTTTAGTTAAACTTCTCTCCAGAAGAGAATAAAAGGTTGACTCATTTTTAGTACTATATTTCTGACTACACATGTATGGATGCTTCTGTTTGTAAATGTGGAGAACCACGAATTATGAAGGAAAAGAGCAATTGGGTTTGATACTACTTGATACCTAATTTAAAAAAAAAATAAAGTTAACAAGATGAAGATTTACACTAACAGGTTTGCATAGAAAGTTAAAAAGAATTAAGGTTGCTTGGTGATAAATGTATTTAATGACAGGGACAGATTTTCCAAAACAGTCAAGGAATTCACTCAAGCTAAGAAAGGCAAGATGATAGATTAAAAAAACACATCTATTTGTGTTTGCCTTAACATATGAGTCAGCAAATGCCTGCACTGTCTAATGTGCTTTTTTGTACGCTCAACTTACTCCATCCTCAAGGCACCCAACTGTTCCTTGGTGGGCGTATTTTGTGTCATAAAACAGATTAAAATACTGTAGTCTTGGAGCTGTGCTGCAGTATAGCTTACATAAGCCAGTAGTTTCCACCTAGACAGTGCATTTTGGGAAGCTTTTAGAATTAAATTTTCTACTGGGAGCTGAAAGTGGTGCTCCTGTACCAATTGATCATGGTCAATGAAGTGTGAAAACTGACATCTTTTCCTGTATCAAGAACATCTAATATGCAAGACTGGGAAAGAACTATAGGGAAGAAGTTGCAATTTTTCAAGTATGCATTCACAATGATAGCAAATCATAATTCATTTTCAAATTAATGAAACTTGCAAAGCTATGATGAGAAAATTCTTTAAATTAAATGAGGTAATTTTAAAAGTAGTGATTTTTTAAGTCTCGGTGGTTATTGTGTCTGTTTGTGCTATTATATCCTCAGTATGATATTATAAAACAAAAAAAAAAAAGCCCACATAGTAATGATATAATTTATTCATAAAAGGATACACTCATTGCTAAGCTTCACTCGGGTTTTGGCAAGACAACCACAAATCATATTTTGCCTACAAAACTATTACAAAGTTTTTAGACTGGAAAGAACCCCAGCAAATTCAAGTCAGCATAAAGCAAATATAGTCAAAAGGTCGTAATTTTTCATTTAAAACATATAGTGTGTTTTCAATTTTTGTTAGATTTAAAAAAAAAAATGTTTACACTGTTTGAGTCAATGCCTCCTAATTTTTTGCTAATTCTTTCTTTCCTCCTTTGTGGAAAATGCCTAACTGAACTTAGACATCTTATGTTTTTTTCAGATAGTATAAATGTTGTGTCTTCTTTAACTTAGCAAGAAGTACTTTTGTGATATGCCTCTATCTTAATGATGTTCTTGTTCCAGCTGAAGTCACTGATGAATTCTTTTCACTGTCTGATAGTACTTCCAGGCTATTTCGGTGTTTTTAATAATTAGAACACTCTGGTTATGGAAGATTCCTGACAATTCTTAGCTCCAAGGAACAATCCTTTATTTTAGCAGTGCTGTTTGCCGTAACAGATACACCAATTAAGTATGAGAAAGGGTAAAACCAGCACCTCAGTTAGGTCATGTTTAATCCTATTTTACAGCCACTTTTTGCTATAAAGACACAGGCCTTGGAGTGGAATGTATTGATCTCTATATGGAGGTCAGTGCATGAAAAAAAAAAATATTAACACTGCAAAGAGCCACCCAAAAAACTAGCCAACACCAGAGTGAAGGTCCATGGTCTCAATGCAGTTTAACATCCTTTGGTGCAAACATTGCAGTCATGTAAAATGCCATAGGACTGGGGCTTCTCTCACTGCGTGAGACCTGTGAATGAGACCACTTTCCTCACCTTGAGTCCTATCCCAGTTCTTCTCACCTTCCTCCAGATATGACATTTTACTGCCTCCCACCTCCTCATCCTCCAAGCTGTAGCAAGGTGTTCTGGCACTTAATTCTCTTCTCCCTCCTTCCCCTAACTGGATCCTCCCAGTTACTGCTTCTATCTGTTGCTCACCAGCTGCCATGGACCCCTCAGCACAGGAGATCTCAGAGCACTACTGGACACCCTTGCCAGCATGGCTGTGGCATTTTTTGCCACCAATCACAGTACTTCTTTCATTGCTCCTGCTATGGACTTGCTTTACCCATTTGCTCCCTCTCCAGCAGGCTCAGCTCTTGGCACTGTGCGTTCAATTGAGTTTCCTTCAACCCAACCTGGGCATAGTGATGGGTTACTGCAAGGAGGAAAGAGAACATCATTGCTCGTGGCTCTGCTAGTTGACTTTGACCATGATACAGCAAAACTGCTCCACAGCTGCAGAGAAGACTGAACGGAGCTTGGGCTAGGTAATGCTTGGCATGAACAGAGGAGTAAAATCTGAGATACAGAGATTCTGTGAACAAATTTTTCAGAGGCATAGCAAGTAACAGTATTTGAAACAAATTTTGAAGGCAGGAAAGAACACACCCCTGATAAGGAAGTGATTCTTATACCAAATTCAGCATCAGGTAAATCATTTTTTTCTAGGGAAAGATGGTAAAATGTTACATGTTGGCTTGGATTTGTAAATAATCAAAGCATGCTTTTTTTCCTATTCTGATTTTCAAGGGTAGATGTTTGACAATTCATTTCCCCTACGTGAAGAGTCACAAAATGAGTTGTACATCCTTCTTCAAGTTTTTGGCCAAAGTGATCAAAGTTCGGGAAGTTAAATAATTGAAAATAAGGTTTTTAATAGACAGCATCAGGTAATCTCCGCAGTAGTGCTACAACCTAGCTGAAATATAGATAGAATTTGTGCAACTAGTGAAGCTATCTCAAGTTCCCATGCTTAGTTGCTACTTGCTCAAGTTTGGAGGAGGGAAGAGAAGGCATATTTTGTACATTATAACAAATTATTGTGAGGATTTGGGGGAGTCTTACATATGAGTTCTTATTCAAGTCTAATTATACTTAATGGCTCTTGTTTAAGGTAGGTGGTAATTCTGCTTAATGAGAACATTTACCAATGACCATTATTTTCACATAGCTTTTCTTAACTCCTCTGATTGTTCCTCTTAGTATTTCTTTGGCTATGACACATGCAATGAAATCTAATTGTAGTTGTTGCTACCTTTCAGGCAGTTAAAAGCTTTGGAGGAAAATTCGTCATATACCAAGCATGGAATGTAGGCTATTCTGCCTGATAATCAGACACACAACCTACTTCTTAATGTGTTCTCTCTGAAAGATTTTTCATTGCTTAACTAGGTTGAATTATAAACAAATTAATCAGGTGCAGCCTGGACCGCTGAGGCTATATGCACTAGCCCCCTCCATCAGGAGAAAAGACTATTCATGAATTATATCTGGGGGCTCCTGACAATGGAAAAAGCATCAAATAATCTAATAGGAGTAGATCTCTACAGGGAGAGCATTGGTGCTGAGAGCATGATGTCCATACCATAGGCATTTTGTGTGGGGGTTACTTGAGAAAAGCCTTAGTTCAGTCCAAGTAACCCCCACAAGGTACACCCGAAGTATGTCAGTGTTAGCAGTACATTCCTATCTGTGCCTGACTGGCTACCCAAAGAAAGAGTGTGAAGAGCTATACCCATACCTGACTCATTTTAAAGAAAGCTGGTTTCCTATGAAAAAAAGTCAGAGCAGTGTTTCCCAGCAATGTTTTTGACAGCTTCTACACCAGCTTAAAGAGGTAACAGAGGCGAGCAGAGAACAGGTACCATGTAAAATCTACCCTTTTTATATGGGAACTAAAGTTATAGGCAGACTTTGTCCTAGTCCCGATACCACTTCTAAATAGAAGCTTATATGCAGTTAAGTAGATAGGTTTGAAAACCTGCTACATTTATGTCTTCTTGTTTCTCATGCATGCAAATTTAGCCCATATCTCTGAATTAATTAGGAAAACTCATCTCAAATAAAAAAAAAATTAAAATATCTCTAATTATGATTAAAATGTAATCCTCAAAATTACTTGGATCTCTCTGGCATTAATTGAACAGAATTTAAGAAGATTCAAAATACTTTCCATCAGGGATGGAGGATATTTAATCTTTTATTGCAAAATCTCTTATTCCTTAATGTCAGGTTAGAAGATATTCTGAGGTCGTGGAAAAGAAAGGCTAATGACTAATCTATGTAAGCTTATTTTCCTGAAATTTGCCACTGTGGGAGTACTAATGTGCATAAATTGAAAGCATTTTTAAGCACTGTTTGTATCTTTCCTGAGTGGGGTTAAATAAGCTGGTAGTTAAAATTCGTAGCCTATACTAACTCCCACTGTATCGACAGGATTAGCAAAAGTGAAGCATTCTGCAAATAAAAGGCCAGGAGAGTTTTATGCCCAAATGCAGAGATTTACAAAGAAATCCACAATAAAAGTGAAAAATTCTACCTGTGTTGAACAAAGTTAGAAAGACAGATATTTACATTATGGTTTGGAAGAATCCTCTAATTCTAAGCAGTTACCCTCTCTTCATCTCATCACAGATGTAGTGTCAGATTCAGTGGCAAGATTTGGGAAGGTGAAAAACTGAAGTGCATTAACACTCCAGGCTATGCTGCTGTTAAAATTAAGCAGGATTTTTCCCATATGCGCTCTTCAAGTGTGATGTCCAAACATGCCAAGAAGTGTTTTTATGAGCAGGTATTAAACATAATGAGGCTCAGTGAACCGCACTTGAGCAGCACTTCTCAAAGGTTTGTGATTTGGGGGATGACAGGGAAAATGAAAGGAATAATGATGTCTCTTGTTTTGTAAATCCATGGGTCTATAGTGGCCAAAATCATAGAATCATAGAATAGTTTAATTTCTTCCTATAAGACACTACAAATAATAATAATAAAAAAATTAAATTACCTATTGGTCCAAATACATAGAAACCTTTGATTTGAATGGAAGGCAAAAGGTGAAAAATATCTCGGAGCTCACAAATGCTCTGGGATTGTATTCTATAATATGCAGGAAAAAAGTGAATTGCAAATTTAGCAAAAAAAGTAACAACAATTATAAAATAAAGGAGAAAATATCCTCTAATCATTCACACAGGCAATATAAGTGACCTTATAAAGCTAGATTCTAACATATGGCAACATTAATATGGAAAAATCTCTTGATGTTACATAAAAATAAATTTAGTGCTAAGAAGGCAAAGATTCACAAATCTTTTTAAAAATCACACCGTTGAGTTCTTGTTCTTCCTACATATTCAATAATACTAGAATAGAATAATAATAGAAATTTTCAGAGGAAGGGGCCTTCATTGTATAGCTATTTCAAACCTCCAGATGAAATACACTATTTCATTATACAAGTAGATTATTATGAAGTGTTGCCCATTGAAGTTTGCAAGGCGTATTTCTCTAAAATTAATAAGTATCAAAAACCAGTATCAGTGCCTAAAAAGGATACCAAAGTCTGAGGCTGTGAAACGCAGTGCTTTCATCTCTGCAACTGGTATTTTACAGTTGCAATTTTCCTTTTTACCATTAAATTCCATATTTATTTCAATCAACTGACATGGAAAGTAAATCAAACCATAATGCATATGAGACCAAGCATAAACTTTTCTTCCTGTACTTGGCTGCCTTCATCCTACCTCAGTTCTCTTTTGACTCCTATTAGGTACTCATGTGAAGGTGGAAGGAAAACACTGGAGAAGACAACACTTCTCAATATGTTTGGTATCTTCATAACCATTTAAAGTGATGCCAGTTGGGGCTGCAGCTATAGAGGCTCTTCACTTGCAGGAGAAAGGTAGATGGTAGGTTGGTATACTGTTCCACGCAGTTCTATACAGTATATTGTGGGAGAGAACAAGACCAAGTGATTTTACTGCTATGTTCAATCACTCAGAATAGTGTTTCTAAGCAATAGCAATTGTGTTATACTTCTTTTTCACTTTACATGTACAAGTTTTGAGAAGCAGATACTAGCTAGAGAAGCAACAGAAATATGCAGGGATATACACAAGTATTCCCCCATAAATGAGGCAACTGTTAAAACATAAATAGCTGTCTTGTGTGAATCTGAAAAACTGCGTGTATGGAGTAAATTACCATGTGCATGAAAAAAGAAACAAAAACATTGCAATGGGCAAAATTAGAATGGCTTGGTTCTTTTACTGTGTTTGCATGCTGTTCTACTTCAAATCACTTAAGTCAATAGAGAGAAAAGCTTTTGGGACTACTGGATCTATAATACAATAAATAAAAATACAACATGACTCTAAAATTTACCCAAGTATGTGGAATAGATAAGCAACATCCTATCTTCAGCGAGATTCTTCTTAACTTCCTTCTTTATTTTTTAATTTGGAATCAATAGCTATACATATAATGACATTTGAAGAATTAAGTTGTTGAAGGTAATATTATGTCCTGGGTTCAGCAGTAGCAGTCATGTTTTCTCCTTCTTAGTAGCTGGTGCAGCGCTGTATTTTTGACTTTCAGCCTGGGAACAGTGCTAATAACACCAATGTTTTTAGTTACTGCTCAAATGTTTAGTCTGACCAAGAACTTTCTGAGCCTCATGCTCTGCCAGGGAGGAGGGGAAGCCAGGAGGAAGCAGAGACAGGACACCTGACCCAAGCTAGCCAAAGAGGTATTCCATACCACAGCACGTCATACCCAGGATGTAGAACCAGGGGCAGTTACCTGGAAGGGCTAGTTCACTGCGGGGTTGGACTAAGTATTGGTCGGTGCTCGGTCAGGTTGGGTATTATCGGTCAGTGGGTGGTACTGTATTCTCTTCCCTTGTTATTTCCTTTATCATTATTATTATTGGTGGTAGCAGTAGTGATTTATGTTATACCTTAGTTACTAAACTGTTCTTATCTCAACCGGTGGGAGTTACATTCTTTCGATTCTCCTTCCCATCCCTCTGAGAGCAGGGGGAAGAAAAGGGGGGGGGGAGTGAGAGACTGCGTGGCTGATTTATGGCTGATTGGGTTTAAACCACGACAGATTAGAACCCAGAGCCATTTTCTTAGATGACAGTCAAATTAATTGGGAAAGAAAGAGCCTGTTTACCTTACACAGAGCCTTTAACATCATGGCAGCATATAGGTGTTATTAAATTGCACTTATATCCATGTAATGCTACACTTTCAGAGCAAGCAAAGCCTATTACTTTATTTTTTCCCACCTGTGTTTCCTTGCTTATAGTCTTTTCTACTCATTTATTTCTGTCTGCAGGCTTTTATATTCAGTTCAGTGAAACATGTAAAATATAGTATTATGACAGCTGCAAAAGAATATCAAAACCCTAAATTTTATCAAACTCAGCATAATCATTAAATTTTTGTTTGCCTAAAGAAGACATAGTAGGGGAAAAAATGAGAGGCAAAGCCAGTAAAGGCTGTCACACTAAGTGAATGAGGAGTCTAATAATTTTCTCTTCACTCACCAAAATGGAGGTCTATTAATATTTCCATGTAACACTTATCTGTAGTGTTTTGCAGAGGACTATGTTTTTATAATACATAAACGAATGAGATTTCTCAGTAGACCTATTTAGTATTTCCTATCAATAACCACATTACCAGATTTACAAGGGATTGTAATACAATTCTTCTATTTGCTAGGGACACTTATTAAGTATTGATAAGCTTTACAGTTTCACTCAGATGCTACTACATTTCTAAGTACTTTTCCAGATCTGTTACTTTGAATAGTATCTTTCATGTTTTACTTGTGACAAGTTCCATCAGCAATGGAACTTTCATGCAGCAGTTTCCACAGAGTTTTTTCCTGCTTAAGCACATGTAAAACAAAATGCACACAGATGCCTTTATAAATAAAGCATATATACTCTGAACTGTAAAGTGAGACACAAAACAAGTCAGTCTTACGTAGCGATTTAGTTCCAATAACCTATGTCATGCCATCCGTTACTTTTGGAAAATAAGGTTTTTTAACCTAAGCTATAAAATCTAATTATGTCTTCAAATCTGAAAGAAATCACTCATTGCCCTGACACATTTTGACTAGAAATCATCCCTAATAATGTTAATGATTTGCAAGGATGGACTGAATGAGGATGCTTTCATTATGTAGTAACAAAACCCTGTGAAAACAGCATTGGGAGAGTAGTGCAATGTACTGCCATTCAAGTCTTTTTCTCCTCTGGATTATCCATTGCCGAGGGTGGGGAAAATGCGGAACTTGGATAGGAGTAGAACAGCTCAGCTTGATGGAGCCATGGGAAGCTGTGTGCACCCCATTCACCCACCCCAGTACTCAGCCCTAAGAACCCCCCAGACTCCACTAGAGCCCCCAAGTTCCTTCCAGTGCTCCAAACAGACCTGTGCTACCCAGTACCTCCCCGATGAACATAGCACCCCCTGAAGCACCCATACACTCATTACCTGTGAGAGCCCTCCCAAGAGTATTCTAGAGTCCTGCAGTACCCTCAGTACCCAGTACCTTGCCTGTAAGTTAACTGTAAGGGTTAATGGCGTAGTGGATACCAGTACAGCCATTATGAGGAAAGGGTGACAGAGACAAGAGGAAGTGAGCAAGAGTATTCTCAGCAGGTAGACACAAAGAACAGAGAGAATGGTGGAAATTGGGATGGGCTGAGGAGTCATAGCTCATCTAGAAAGGAGATTTGCCCACCTAACCAAAGAAGAGGAATAATGTGGAAAAAGGCCTGTAAGATGGAAACATACTGGAGAAATATGCACACCCATTTGAATAAATGGAAAATCTCTCAGAAACAAGTAATTTCCTGCATTTTTCACATGGCACTGACCATAATTTTTTTGCTCCTTAGGTCACCAGCATCATATGACTGTAAGCACTGCTAACTCTCCGAAGGTCTCTTCAAAGTCCTTGAATACATAAGAGCTCTTGGCTTTCTGATTTTTTCTGGTTAAGGCTCAAGGTATAGAGAATCCATTCACAAGAGAAATCACTGTGTACACCTTCATAAATTATAGATATTATTTTAAATACAGTTGTAGTCTGTACAACAGAGGCAGAAGTCAATCTTTTAGTAACATCCTGAGAGACATTTTTATGAAATTGAGAGCAGGAAGTAAGTAATCTGTCATCAAGTACAGTCTGGCTCTCCCTGTCTGACAACTGGCAAAGATCTACGAACGCTCACATTTCCATGAAAGGATCTGAAGATGCTGGTAGGAAAGCTAGCATTATTATCTACAGATAAGTCATAGAAGCAAAAACAGGTAGCATGTCTTTTTCAAGGTCAGGGAATCAATCAGTGAAACAGCACTCTGTTGCCTGGCCCATGTATTACTCTTAAAATCATCCTTGTCTTTTTCTGCCTAGAGAATTCCTTTCCTGTTTTTTCCTCCCAAGTAATTTTTTTCTCTCTGTTTTTCTCTTTTGCTTTTTCCAGTTTATCTTTCCTCACTTAACCTTCAGACTTCTTCTGATCCTATAAAAAAGGACAAAAGGCAAGAGCCTACAGGAACCAGCACAGTCAGACTCTTGTCTTTGTCCAGCACTGCCTTTTAATTTGTGGGAGAGAACAGTAGGAGAGATCATTGCATGCTGTGTATATTGCTGACATGCAGAGTCAGGATAAACAGGCACACTCCTGACTTCCTTTGAGAGTGGCTCCCTCAGCCAGGATACTATTCCCTTAATGAGACGCCACAAACTGCTAGGGCTGCCCAGCAACTCTTGCTGTAATATTTAAATCCTATATGCATGGCAACATATTTTTGCCAGCTCTGCCAATTACCTTAAATTTATAGACGTGTTGGATTTTAAGGTTTTCAGGTTTTAAATCAAAAAATCAAAAATAGCTCAATCTTTCTCATTTCTTTGCAAAAGTCCTATTTTTGTCACTATTGCCTTATTTTAAATGTAAATCTCCCAGATTTAGATTTGGGTTTTTTTTTTTTTGTCTTGAGGAGGAGGTGTAATGTAGAGGATCTAGCGATTAAAGCTATGTAAAATACACTTTCATGTTTCTGAATGTTTCTATCTTCTTTCAGCTGTTCTGACTTAGAATTCCCCAAATCAAGCTGTAAAGCATGTGAAAGGCTTGGCCTACTCTGCCTTTCACATTATTAAAACATAGTGCTGTTCTTAGGGTAAACTATATTCATAAAAGTCAATGAATGCAATTCAGCAAGGTTCCTTAATCTTGCAAAATAACTGTTTCTAAAAAATATCATCAGCTCTGCTAAAATTGCCTTTCCTTTTATACAGTTTTCGCAGCCAGCTATAAAAATCACTCCTAAGATTTAAGCATTATATTGCTGTATATTACCAGCACAGAATTATTAGAAACTCTTAGTTTTTTGGAGGTGATCTTATTCCTGTGGTCACAGTAATGTTGCAGAAGCTGGTAGAGGTTGAAACAACACCAGAGAAGTGTAGGGTCCCGCAAGTACTGCAGGTCTGTGCCCTTGCCTGTGCTCACTGAGGTTTAAATGATGTAATTTTGGAAGTGCTGTGGGGTTTAGGCTGGGTCAGTGTAACTTGCACAGAGCAAACTTAAGCAAGACACAAAGATTTCAGTTCAACTAAACATATTTTACTGTAGACATCATCAAGATAATCTTCTTTGAAGTATTTAAAGTACCCAAAAAAGTAAACCAGAAGAGTAGCCAGTGATAAATTGACCCTACAGTGAACCTAACATTGCATCTCAGCATTGAGCTGCTGTTACTAAACCTGTGAATGTTTGACTACTTTGAAAACAGCTTTCCCACTGGGTGGTTCTCCCGGCACACATCTGTCTGCATTCCAGCTCTTGCTCTTGTCAAATCAAGGCGTTTTTTCAGCCTGTACCTTATAACTACATTGATTATGAGCTTGACATTTGAATCGCTCTTTTTTTGCCAGACCTGTTTATCAGCAGAGCTATTTTCAGGGCAATCTGCATTTGCAAACAGGATGGAAGTAAGGAACGGGAACAGGTTGTCATGCTGTTAAGTGACCACAGAAGTACAGCTGACACGGGTGTTACTATTGGTGCTTCTCCTCCAGTTTGGTAAGGGCTGAAAAAAAAGAGTCGAAATATTCTGAGTGGTCACGAAGGTGTTTTCTAGCTTCTCTGCTGGCTGACCCCAAATTACACCCCTAAGGCCATCCCAGGCCTGCTGTTGCACAGCCGTTTTCAGGGCAGCCAGCCTACTTGAGAGACTCTGTGAACCTTAGGAAGCCTTCTTGAGTTGCAGAAACGACTGTTACTTCTTTATGTTGACAGTTGTACAGTCTAGACTATGGTTTTGCCTCCATTACGTACGGGCCTGGTGAGTCAGACCCAGGAAGTGCCTCACTGGTTGAGACCAGAGGCCAGGTAAAACGCATGGCCTCATTTACCCCTTCGCCGGTGGAGGGGTTTGCTACCTGCCTCCCCAGTGGGTGGGGACAGACCTGGAGGGAGGTTCCCGTGCTGCCTCAAGGCTACACAGCGCAGGTTCGAGCAGTAGTCTTGGCAATCTCGTCAGGGCGTCCATTCCGGGTGCTGTTCCTGCGCGGGGGCTCGCTGGTGACACGATATCCACAGGAAGGGGAGGGAAGAGGACACTGGCCGCTTGTGACCCCCCTGGCGCACGGGCACAAACACCTCGGTAGGCCGTCGGGAAGCGGCTGGGGAACGCTGTACCGACTCCGAGGCCAGCGACGGAGGGTAGCTCCCATCTCCCGGCCCACCCCAGCGCCCTGAGGCGGGGCGGGTGAACGTGTGGTGAGGAGCCGCAGGGGTCCGTAAGGGAAGGCCAGGCGGGGTCGCCCCCGTGCTGAGGAGAGTAGCGCGAAAGAGGAAAGGAAGCGAGTTCTCCGGCGGCAGGGCGGCTGGGGAGAGGGGGGCCAGCTGAGAGAGCGGGACCCGGCAGGGCCGCTGGGGCGAGGCAGGGTTGCTCTGTTCCCCCCTCGGCCTCCTTCCCGTCACCGGCCTCTGCTCCAGCCCGCTTCCCCCCCATCCGTTGTGTGTTCCTGCGTCCGTTGCAGGCCCCTCTGCCGGTGCTCGTCGGCTGGGCGCGAGGCGGAGCTGAGGAGAGTTGGCGCGTGCCGGCAACGTGCCGGGGCTTGAGGCGGCGACGGGGAGATGGAGCCCGACAGCGCGGTGAGGATCCGGGAGCGGTGGCAAGGCCGGTTCCGGGGGGGCTGGGGCCTTCTCCGGGGAGAAGGCAGAGGGGGGCGGCGGGTGGGAGTGCAGCTGTCCCGCTAATGCGCCCCTCGCTGAAGGCGGCGGCCGTTGCGGGCTCGGCCCCAGCGCCGCGCGAGTCCGCCATTTGCTTTGTGGTGTGGCGGGCTGGGGGCAGCCTCAGTTGGGGTAAACCGCTCGCCTCGAGTGCGCAGCGGTACCCGGTACTTAGGAATGATGGGTGTCTGGTTCGTGACGTTGCGGGATATGGACTGTGAAAAAACGGGCTGTTCAGGGAGTAAGGTGGGATTGATATTTAGGTATTTGTCGTGCTTGATTGATTGTGGATGTGTTCAACATGAAAGTGAAAATTATATCAATTCGGTTAAAGAGCAGTTGCTAAACGCAAGAAATAACCGAGAAAAGTGGCTACCCCATCCCTGGCAACGCTCAAGGCCAGGCTGGACAGGGCTTGGAGCAACCTGGTCTAGTGGAAGATGTCCCTGCCCATGGGGGACATGGAATTGGATGAGCTTTAAGGTCCTTCCAACCCAAGCCATTCTGTAACTCTATGAAAAAACACATGTATATACGTATCCATACTGTTTAAGGGGAAAAAAAAATCTAAAAACTGTGTTTAAAGACCTGCAGAAACTCACATTATTTGGTGATGTGCACACAGATCTTTTAATATTGGGGTTTTTTTACTTCTACATTGGCATTAAAGAGGAAATTATTTTTGAGACAGTTATCAGAATACAGATTTTAACATTTTAAATTGGGGTTTACTGTATTGGGAGTTCACAAGTGATGTGTTCAATTCCTCATTTCTTCCATTTGGGATTTGGGTTTGTTTGACTTTTTTTAATGAGACTTAAAACTCTTGGCTTGTATAGAGAAAATTAAATTTGAGATCCTTGAGGTAAAGAATGTCCTTTGGCTGTGGTATCAACTGTTAATTGTAACTTTATAGTTAAATTTTAGTGCTGTACACAATTGCCAGATGAATATACAAGTAGAACACTGTATTCGGTGTGAGAGATGAAGAAAGTAACTTGATTTATCACCCTTCAAAAGTTGTTCTTTACAGATGTTCCTCCTTCTAAAGCCTTTGGGACTGTAGTGATTATGATTGTTCCTTGCTTGCAAGTGATGGGTTTGGTTGGTTTGGTTGGTTTGGTTTTGTGTTTTCAGGTTAGGCACTACTGTTATGGTAGTGTTCCCAGTAGGAGCAATGCAGTAGCTGCTTGCCTTTTACTCTGGGCTCTTTCCTTAGTGGTACTGTCAGGACACTATAGCCTACAATTTGTTTTAGTAAACTTTGATTTAGTTTAGTTTAGTTTAGTTGGGGACAGACAAAGAAAAACCACCATGGCAAAAATGTTCTTGAAGCCTCTTGCAATTCTTACTGGAGAAGTATGGTGATGGCACTATATGGCTGCTTTACAGTTATGGTTAGGATTGACTATGCAGTTTCCAGTGGAATGGGAGTCTGTATTTTTTCCCAGTTCATATGTGGAAGTTAAAACATCAGTCAGGCTTCACTGAATAATGGTTTCCGTGAAGTTCCCACTGTACTGTGTCCCTTTCCTTTACCAGGGCAAGGGCAACCTGGTAGTTCTTCCACAGAGAGAATTTCTGTTTGAATCACTGTGTACTGTGTTTGTAGGCCAGAAGGGTGTTGAATTAAAAGACTAGTCTTCAAGAATTGTTATCAGTTGTAATGAGCTTGTTGATTTTATATGGTGGAATTTTGTGTGCTTGGCACTTGGAAAATCAAGTAGAAGCAGTTGCAGAGGATCAGAGTTTTGTAGATTGTGTGTGTGTGAGAGAGTGTAAGGTGAGTTGAAAAGGCCTTTTCTGTATAGGTTTAAGCTAAGGGGTTTCTAGTAGACATAAATTAATCTCTGAAATAGACTTCATAGCTTGGGATTCATACAGCAGGATGCTGTGCAAGCAGAAAAACTAAGAATAGGCCCTAAAAGTCTCATTCAGAAAAGTGTTAAAATGAAAGTTAAACTAAAGACAATAGTGTATCACTAAGTTACTGAATTGCTTAAAACTAAGCTTATGTTTAAATGCTTGCTGATTTGCATTCTGAATAAAAAATACATGGTTAGTGTTCAGTTATTCAGTATTTGCTGTGCCTCCCAAAAAAAAAATTTTTTTTTTTCTGTTGAGAAATCTGTGTGTAAGATAACTGAAAATATTTGAAAATATTTTCCTTCCATCAGCAGACACCAAATCAGATGCAAACAGAATCTTTATATTCATGTCCCAACACTGCGTCTCCAGTGCCATTAAATAGTCTGACCAGTACTCCAAGGTTTGGAACAGTTACTCCAAATCGCGTCTTTGTAGGAGGAATTGATTTTAAGGTATTTCTTCCTATTTTTCTACTAAATGATAATTTGTATAAAAATCAACAGGAAAAAAATGTGAAATACAGTCATGTGTGTTTGTTCAGGTGGTAAAGTGCCCTTCACTGCAGTGTTCAAATGAGCAGTAGAGAATAAAACATTAAGCCTTGATTCATGTAACTGTACTACACAGTTGTCCATTTGTACACCTAAATGCTTTTGACATTACTGGTTCTTCAGAATTTTCTCTTTTTCAAAGAAGATGGCTTTTGTCATCAGCAGAGTTTATGGTAGAAAAGTATGTAGAAGCGTTTTTATTGTGTAACACTTGATGTAATTTAATAAACTGTGACCACAGTGTTAACGATTGAACAGAACAAATGTCAGTAGCTTCTGTTCCTCTAGCACTTTTCTTCCAGTTAATACAAAGAAGGAGCTACAGTGCATGTATTCCTCAGTTACCATAGTAATTTTCTTCAGAGCAAGTGTTTGTTTTAAAACAAATATTAAATCTTCTCTGGGCAATTTACAGTAGTGATCTGGATTCTTAGAATGCTCGTGCCTTCACATATGCCCTAAAAACCTCAAAGAGCAGTGAATATTGAGCCATTCTGATGTTGTTCAGTTGCTTTCAATGGTTGTGACAAGATATGTTCCAGATCTTCAGATCAGCTACTCTTTTTTTTCTTTCTTACCACTTCAGATTAGGAGTTGTCATTGACTTTTGCAAAACATCCTTGATCTGCTTAGCTGTTTCTTTGTTCCCACCAAGAGTATATTCTTTGTCTTAATCCTTCTAGGCTGAGGACCTTCTGAGTGGTGACTCAGATGAAGAGGAGGAAGAATGACAATTTTGCATAATAAACACAAGAAATTCAAGGTTCTTCTGGCTCACTTGGATAATTTATATACAGGCGTTCATAATTAAGGCGATGTTGTACAGGATCTTCAGTATATTTGGGCTTTGGCAAAGAGGCACAGTAGCTTCTTGCATTAATAGTAAGCAAATTACTAGAGCTGTAAAAAGATTTGTCTCACTTTCTTGATGGCAGTTTAAAACACTTATTCTGCATAATATATCAGTATTTTTGTTAATTGTCATATTGTTCATTTTGAAGCGTCTCTTGACTTCATGGTTCACTTGCTATACATCAAAATTTATTATGAATCTTAATTGCAACAACAGGAATTAAGTGTGTTTGTATCTGTAAACGTAAAGATGGTTTTAATTGGGAGAAGAAACAGAAGGTGTGAAACCACTTACTGACATTTTAGCAACTCTTCCAATTTCTATGACTTAATATCAAGTAGAGTCTTAAATTTCTGTTCAAATTGTAGGATATATATGTCATTCTTGGATTGTTTTCTGATGGGCTTCTTATGGCAAAAAGCATTGGGGTTTGGGGTATTTTTACCCCAAAGGTCTTAAGTTAGCTGGGGGGGGAGGGGTGGTAAAAATCTATTTATTTATTTTTGTGAAAAAAGGAGGCACTTAATAGAAGATTATTTGTTTTCCAGCAAGCTCTTTTATTGTTTTACCAGTTGGTCTGTCACTTTAGCAATGATTGCTCTTTACAAGAGGAAGCATCTCGCCTTTTTAAATTTAGAGATATAAGTAAGACAGGTCTCAGTTGGGTACATTTTCATCTTGGCCTGAAGAACTCTTTCTTCAGTGGTGTACACCCTGCCTTTCGTAAGAATTTGACAAGTACCTTTGTCCTGTCGTGAGCAGGAAAAGTCCTGAATGTGTTTCTGTCAAGCTTTTGGATACCGTGTTTGTCCAGATACTTGCAGATTTTCACTGTGAATCTTAGAACAGTGTTTCCTTCTTATTCCCCTTTAATACACTGCTCTGCAGATAAACCTTTGTCTTTCCAAGTTTACAGTCATGTGTAACCATCCCTGATGTCCTTGAGGTGTTGAGCGACACCTTCACCACTGATCAGTCTTAAAGGCTCTTTGGTTGTTTCTTGGCCTATTTTAGCCTTCAACTCTTTTGTAATAGGCTTTTTTGCTCAGCTTGTGAAGCAGCTCTGCTACATGTAACGTGGAGCTTAAAAAAAACAATCTCCCAGAAATGAGAAATTTAATCTACAGGCCTTTCATTTCTAAGCAGATAGTTTTGGTGTTCATTGCAGATGTCCTGGGGTCAGCAGTAGCAGTGCTACACCAGCTACTGCACCAGCTACTGAGAAAAATGACTGCTACTGCTGAATCCCGGACAGGAGAAAATTTTAAGGAAAGGAAAATCTTCACTGTGAGTCTTTCGAACATTGTACGTGCTTTGCAATGTGCTTTGTACATTTTTATGTGCAAACACTACAGCATATGCTGCACAACTGGTCTATAGAAACAATCAGTTGTTTGCCTGAACCTGTTTTCCTGTGTGCACAAGCTTTCACACTTCCCTTTAGGTGCAAAGTGTGATCATCTATTCAAGAGAATGGTTCTGGACTCCAGAATTCTTTTGACCTGTTCATGGTGGATAGTTTCTCAAACAACAGCTTGCAAGGAGAAGACACAGTTACTGAGCCATAATAAAATCTTGATGCGTTTCACACCTACTCAGTGCACTTCTATCTGATGTTTCTCCTCCTATGTGATGTTTCTCCTCACACTTTCAGAGCGACTGGGTATTTTCTAGTGTTTCAGTGCCTGAACACTTGGATTAACTGGGGAGATAATGTTCTACCATCATTGTTCTCTGCTGGACTTGGGTGTTATAGCGAGCAAGCTGCATTATTTGTTTTTGTAAAATGTGTCTGGAGGGTCGAATTCTTCAAAAAGAGCATTAACTTCATATTCTTTCCAGTTATGAAAGTTGTTCAAATTAGGTTTTGTTTCTACTAAGTTGTTCTTGTTTCTTAAACTTGGATGAAGCAGCTAAGCCTTTGATGTGCAGGAGGGGATATATAAAATTGTATACACACAGTTAATAAAAGTTGTTCACTTAAAGGTAGAGTAGTACTTCTGATATAATTCTTCAGCGAAAAATATAGGTGAATATGGAAATTGGTTGAGGCATATAGGCATCTATGTATGTAAGTGTACTTCTTCCAGCATTAGGTACAGTATTAACTAAGGACCACGTAGAACAGAACTTTAACATCTGAAATATGATGTTTAGGGCACTCTATTTGATATATGCTTACACAGTAGAAGAAAACTGATTCATAGAAGGTAGGTAAGTGTTCACATAGCTATTACATTAGGAACTTGTCTTACTTCATGCATACTCAGAAGCAAACGGTTTCCTCCATGGGGATTTAGAACATTCTTCATTAAAAGGACCTTTGTTTTCTTAATTTATAATGGCAAGTTTCTGTGGTGTGTGTATACATATCTGCAGAGTCTTATATTAAATGTACTTTTGAAAGAGGGATTATAGATTAGATGAATTTGACCATTAAGTTGCTGTTGTTTAGCAGGGATCTTTTTCATATATGACCTATGCATATCCTTTCTGGAAGCCTGCATACTCTGCTTCTCTGAAGTTTGAAAGCATCACAGTAATGTTTCATATTGTAAATAGCACTCTAGTATGTAATTTATGGAAACTAAAATTCACATGTAGTAAACCTGCTTCAATGGTCTTGCCTGTAAAAGTTGTTATGTAAATCCACTAAAACATAAGTTATAATATTTTAGTGGCTTTCTAGCATTCGTGGTGTATGTAAAAACGGAGAAATTAAATAGGAGCTGTGAAGGCTCATACATGGTAATTTTTTTTTTTCTATCCAGAGTTATCAGTAGTTTGTAGAAAACTTTATCCAAAGTATATCCATTAAAAATCTTACAGTAAGTATTCATTGAATAAAACAATATGCAAACCAACTTTTCTTTTTTTTTTTCCCCTTCTTGATTTACTGTACCAGACTAATGAAAATGATCTGAAGAAGTTTTTTGCTCAGTATGGCAGTGTGAAAGAAGTGAAGATAGTAAATGACAGAGCTGGAGTATCAAAGGGGTTGGTATTGTAGGATAAGTATGTTGTGGGAATTGAAAATATAACAGAAAGCTGACTGACTATAGTAGATTTGATTATGAATTTCATTGCTCAGAATATTATTTGTTTTGTCATTGATGTTCCCCATTAATCCATGTATGCAAAAATGTGTTCTTGCCCTTTAACATCTCCATGTAAATGTCTTTGTAGTTCATAACTGTAAAACTCTATACTTACATTATTATAAGATGAAGGTGTGTGCAGCTAGGACAAAATCGGTAATCCTTTCAGGGTTTTCTTATGACAGTATTTTAAATAGATAACCCTAAAATAGTAGTTTACTTATTAAACATGCGTATTTCTACTACTGAAAGCCAGTGCGGAAAGGAGCCGAAGAATGGAGGAAGAGGCGAGGTACATCTGATTATGCTGGAGTGCATTGGCAATAATGTGAGACTTTTGTGTGAAGATTTATGGAACAAGAACATAGGAGAGAAATTTGATAACGAATTGTGACTGCAGAAAAGGGAATTAAGACTAGAAGTCAACAATAAAAGAAATGCCAAAGAGCAGATCTGAAGAAAGATTAAGACTGGGTAGTAAGGTTATTGCTAGAACCCAACTAATGCAGTGGTCAAGAAAGTAAGATGAGTAACTGTACTGCCACAGAACGGCTGAAGCAGAAAGGAATGTTCATGAGAATTTGTACCTGTAACAGTTCACTTTGGTCAGAAGCTCTCTTCTGAGCAGTAAGTCTTTGGTGTCTGAATCTCATCATTTTATACTGCCATAATATATATCGGCAAATTACATGCTGAGCTGCAGGTCTTAGCATAGCGTGCTATACCTATATGGCACGTTGGACTTGGTTCTGCTGTCAGATCTATTACCAAGCCTCTTACCCTTTTACTAAATTCCAGGAGATACCTGAGACTTGCAGTACATGTGTCCATATAATACAGTAACCAAGAATATCCAATTATTATGCAGTTGTGATTGCCAATATATGTCTCACAGAAAAATGTTGGAAAATAATTGGTTTCAACAGTGTTGGTATTTCTGTTGAAATCCAAGCAATCCATTGCATCTCATTGACAAGTGATTTAAGAAACTTAAAGGGTTTTGTGACTGATTGTGTCTATTAGTTTATTGTCCAGACAGCACACAGAATGAAAAGGCTGTGTAGATAAGGTCCCAAGCTAGGTAAATCGTCTCTGTGTTCTTTGAACTTGGAAATGTTTACAAATCTGTTTAGAGAAGGCAATGGAGGAAAAGCTCGCAGATTTAAAAGTCAAGCTGGTCAAAGTCTTATTGGACTCTCTACTCAAATAAGCATTTTTGAAAGTACGCGTTGTGGTACAGACCTGAATTATAAGATGAGATACTTTGCACAAAGCACGTTCGATGGCATAGGTTTGTGGGAATGAATTGAGGGGGTTTGATACAGCAGGAGTTTGTGCAGAAAGCCTTTTTGATTTGTTGCAGTAGTTACGAAGTATGAGAACACACAGAACTCTTGCTTAATGCTAGTCATGTGAAGAATGACAAGAATAAATCATAGATAAACACTCTCTGCATTGCTGCTTGATCTGAGAACTCAGTATAGTGGGTAGTGCTTGTGCAAGTATAAAGCATTCACTGAATGCAAAGCAATCATTGAAGTAGGTGGGAGCTGTGCTGTGAAGTACAGTATAGAAAAAAATAACATCTCAAGTGTTTCATCAAAGTCTTTGTTTAGTAGAAATGAAGGAACTAAAGATACACACTGAGTAACAAGAGCAATGCGGAGAGAGGTATGTGTAGCTTTCCACAGGGGCTGCTCATTCACTTGCACTATATATCAAGAAATGATGTGCAGTGTATGTAAAAAAAAAAAAAAAATTCAGAGGGTTAGCTTTTATAATTCTTATTTAGGTATGGCTTCATTACTTTTGAAACTCAAGAAGATGCACAGAAGATTTTACAAGAGGTAAGTGATAGTCCCCATTATGTTTATCTCTTAAATTAAATACTTAATTTAATATTGGACACTAACTAGCTCTTACTGGCTGGCCGTATTTTGTTTGTCAGCTTGCATTTGAAGGTCTCTTCAGTCTGGTCTGTGTGAGACCTAATACAAGATTTAGGCTGAGGTCTTCTGGAACTAGGGGAAAGAGTTGCCAGTTCGTAGTACAGCTCTTGACTTTGACATACAGTCTTTACTTCCCTACTCGGTATGTGGTTCGTTGTGCATATAGAGCCATAAAGACTCTATCCTTCACAATTGCTTTCATTTGCTCTACTAGAAAATAAATTGCTGTCAAAGCTTTGTTGGGCGTTGGGAAGATAACTGCTGTCTTTCATGCAGACATGTTTGATTGGCAGAGCTGATGTAACTCTCTAGTGGTAAAATGAAAAGATGCTGCTGAGAATCATAGGTACCAGTTGTTAGTCAGGAGGCCCCATGAGGAGTAAGTAGTACTTGAAATTACTAAGAATTAAGTTTGTGTATGTGAACTCTTTAAGTTAGGATAGAAAAGTAATTAGTATAGCTTTGGGGGTTTTTGAGATGCACTCTAAATAAAAAGCAGGGGAGGGTGAAACCTAATGAGTGACTTGTGTATGTCTGATTTTGTTTCTTTCATGTCTGTGTAGAAAACGTCTTCTTTCTTTAATTCTAGGCTAAAAAACTTAATTATAGGGATAAGAAATTGAATATTGGTCCAGCAATCAGAAAACAACAAATACGGAATCCTCGTATGTATTTTTACTTGCATTTCAGACTGAACACTTACGTAAGAGGGGTACTGATAAGTTTTTTTGTCAGATTACTTCTTTATCTTGATCAAGTAAGCTGTTAAGATTTTTTTGGGGGGAGACAGAACAAGGTTTTATTCCAGAGAAGATGCCATCTCCTGCCAGAAGCAGTTTTATTTCTGTAATAAACAACTGAAAAAGTAGGATATGAATCACCAACCTTTAAGGGAAGCTTCATCAGGTTTTGGCATACCAGGGCATGTTGTTCTGTTACTCCACACTAAAGGCTGTGTGTCAGAGCTGTAAAATACATTCCTTTTGTAAGTGCAGCAGGGAATGAGGTGTACTTTTGTAACTTTGCTGTAGTAAAAAAAAAACCTCACCCCACACTTCTGCTCATCTGCATGGGGATCTGTCCCTTTATTTGAATAATGATGGCTGTCAGTACCTATTAGAGTACTGACTGTACAGGTGAAACTCTGCTTTGGGATCAACCCATGCTGGCTTACAGCACCACCATAATGGCAGCATTGCTGAGAAGTATCCCTGTCGCTGACATCTAGTTACCAGTATTTACTTTTGCCAGGCCATGTACCATCACAGAAACAGACACAGCCACGTGGTCTGTGTGCTGAGAGAGGAGGCAGTACCTTGTAGTGAAATAATTTGGTTATTTTTAGTGCTTGGGTCCTGTATCAGCTAAATATGAGTTTGTGGAGGTTACCAGTTAAAATCTCCTACAATGTGAAGTTATCTTCGAACATTTGAATGTCAAAAAAATACATGTATCTTTGGTGAGTAATTTATATGCATGTTATCTTTTGTACCCCTTTCCCATCTACCTCTGGAGATGTCCTGTGACCATCTGCTTTGATGATTTTGTGTTTGAGAGGGAATTGAGATGGCACTAGGCACGCTGCTCCATGCTCTTTCCTTTGAGTGCTTTGCTCCTTTACAGATAAAAAGTGACCTTTTCTTCTTTTTTATGGCCTACAAATCTAAAAAAATAAAATTTTCCGGTAAGTAAACTTTAAAATACTAATTTCAGGTTCTACTGTAATACCAGAAACTGCTACAATGTACTTAACTACATCAAGTGGATATCCCTACATATACCATAATGGAGTGGCTTATTTTCATACATCTGAAGTTGCTTCTGTTCAGCAGCCATGGCCAGTAAGTCAATTATTTTTGCATATGTGCTTTTCTGTGGACCAGGATGAGTGCAGTGTTTTGAAGTCCATGCTGCTTCCAGTTTCTTAGGATGTGCTCATGTTTGATGTTTAAATGGCTTCCTTGTATTAGCCTGTTTATTTCATGTTTTTAAGTATTACTAATTTTATTGGTCTTCTGCAGGGGACTTTTGCTTTGATATGACCCATAGGACAGGGTAGTTCAGAATCAGTGTGGGCCCTGCTGCAGGAGAAGTTTTGTTTTTTCTAAGGAGTTTCTGGTGCTTTTGACTGCTGATTGGCTCCATTTATTATTCCTCCATGAATGAGGTGTTCTTGGGTGTAAATTCTTACACTGAGGATGAAAAGAGAATGTAGTACTAGATCAAGAAAGCAAACCTGAAATTGGGTTATTTTACAGTCATTCATACTCTTTTTCAAGAATAATAATTTGTTTAGAAGTAAGATAATTTGATAGATTATTTGCCTTTAGTAGCCTTGGGGACCTTAGACACCATTCACAGACATATATGAGTGGAAAATCCCTTCATGTTGGGGGAAAAACTCAGTGGAAAAATTAGTAATGAATAAAAACAAATTTCCCAAATTTCTGGCTCATATCCACTGTTTCAAACAAATAGCATTGAATCTTTCCAATTACAAATTGCACGCAGTAGGCTTTACTAGTCAGAACTATAGGTTCGGAGGGCTGTGTTGTCCTCTATCATGGCCATACATTTCTGCCCCCCTTTCTTTCACTGATTTCTTTTTGAACCTAAACTAGGCCCACACAAAACCCAGGCAGGTTTCAAGCTCCTTAAACTGGCTGACTGTCAAATCAGATGAATGCTGAGTCTGGTGTGAGGTAGAGAATGGGAAAGGGAAGCTTGTGTTGGGGCTGTGGAGAGGGTAGGAAAACATCAGTGACAGCTTAGAATGCTTTAAGTATTTACAAAAAATGTATCTATAGTCAGGGTAGTGGATGGCCTTAGCATTTCTAGATGGTGATAGCCTAATGCTTTCTGGAAAGAACTGAGTAAATACACCAAAGATGGTTGTTTCATCTCTAATGTAGTCCCTTAGAAACAGTGGCTTTGAAGAATCTAAGCGTAAGTTAAATCCATTTTCAAAAGAAAGGGGAGATGGCTCAGCATTACAGTACTCTGGAACTGTTCTTAGTAGGAGTGGTAATTCATTAAATTGCTTCATTAAGACTTTAACGTCTTTCTTTTCAAGTCGCGCTCTGTTTCCAGTTCACCTGTGATGGTGGCTCAACCCGTTTATCAGTCTCCTACATACCAGTATCAGGTACCTATATGAAAGTTGTCTTCTAACCATCAGTATTCCTTCCAGTCATGGAGTTTTATTTGCAGCACTGTCTTGGCTCTGTTTATTCTTAGGAAATAAAAAGATTGTTCAAAATAGTCATATAAAAGAGATTTTAATTTCACTTAAGATCTTTTAACTATAAAATAATTTATTCTGCCTATGTAACTGTGAGGAAATGTAATAATTAAAATTTTGTTTGGTGTTGCTAGACAACTGGGTTAGTATAGTATCATCCTTAATTTTTATAATCTAAGCCAAACTCCTGCTCAAAGCAGGGCTTGGTAGATCAAGTTTCTTGGGAACTTGTCCAATTGAATTTTAAATATTTGCAGCTATGGAGTTTGCACAACTTTCTGGACAGCGTTTTCTGATACTTGATACTTCTCACAGTAAAAGTATTTTCTTTTCAACTAGTTAAAATATTCAGTGTTCCAACCTGTGTCTGTTGACTCGTGCTCTGAACACCACAGGCAAGAATCTGGCTTAGTCATATTTATGCTGTCATCCCTTAGCAGCACCCCTCCTGCCCTTATCCTTCTCAAGGCTGAACAAACCCAATCCTCTCAGCATCCAGATACATCTGTTCTCTAGTCCCTCCATCATCTTGGTGGCCCACTACTGGATTTATGCAGTATGTCTGTATTTTTAATGTGTATTGGCAAGTTAAGTGCTTTCTGTATCTTCTGTTCTTTTTTAATTAGCCATGCTTCTTAAGATGCTTCAGTATTTTAGAAGTTAATGAAATGCTAGAGTCAGAAGCTGAGTGGATGTAGGTGAAACCAAGTTCCTGAATTACTTGGGGGCTTAATGAAAATCATATTTTGTTTAAGTATTGATTATAGATTAAAGATGGTTTTGACTCTAGTATGTTGGGAATTACAATAGGTGTATGCATATGTTCTTAATCACATAAGTAATACTGGTTTTTTTTTGAGTTTAGGCACCAGCCCCCTGTGTTCCAAGTCAGTGGCAGTGGCCTGTTCCACAGGTAAATACAGTTTCAGTATTTTAACATTAGTTTGCATCCAGTTTAAAAGTCTGGTGCACTTACAGTGAACTTTACCAGTATTCACAACACTTAAATGTTACCAAAACCTGAAATAACATTTTATTATTATAGCATTTATTGAAACATCAGATACAAATCTGACATAAAGGAAGCATCTTCCCCTCCTTTCTCCCTCTGGCAAAAAGTCTGTATGAAATTATCTAGTAAGTTCTCAGAAGCAGGTAAAAACTGCCATATTTTGCCTGATAGGAGAAATGAGTATCAGCTAGCTTAATAACTAACTGTGATGTTTGATTGGAGTATTACTAGTAGAAGCATGTAGACATACAAGTAGGGTGAAACTAAACCCAGACCCTTGAAATATGAGGAAGAACTTGAAATTGCTAGCCTGGTAATTCTGGCGGGGGAGACTGTTGGTTTTGTGATCTCTGTAGCAGAGGAGCTTAATATGGAAATCTTGACACTCAAGGAACTTGAAGAGTTTGAAGCTGAAAGGACTAAGTCGCTGAAGAATGAACTGTTACAAAGCATCCTCATTACTTCAGTAGCAAGCAGCCTTGTCCAGTTATGGCCATGTCATCTCTATTAATAATGTCATCTGCTGCTTTGAAATCTGGGTGCTGAATTACAGAAATACTGTGGGGTTTATTTTAAAACAGAATGCTTATTATTTCAATGTAACATTTTTACAAGGTTATACTTGTTACGTTTCTGTGATCTTGAGAGTGTCAGTTCTATGTATTTTAGGATTTATCTAACAATACTCTCCAAAACATAAATAAAATCTGAAAAATGTATAAAAGCTACAGGACATTTTTGTTTTATCCTACCAACTTCCCCTTCATTTGGTCTCTTTAGGTTATCAAAGGTTGATTTGACACTTTATTTTACTGTTCTCTTTGCTAAATATTAATGAAGATAAAACTTTAAAAGCATCTTTGGTGTTCATAGTGCATAAATCATATTATTTATGAAAGTAATGTGGTTTATTTCAGTCTGCTGTCTCTTCACCTTCATTCTTGTATGTGCAACCATCTGAAGTCATTTATCAGCCGATAGGGATTACCCAGGAAAGTGGATGTGTACCTCCACCTCTCCTTGTAGAAGCTGCAGCTCCAGAGGTATTTTTATAAAAACTTTACTTACAGTTCAAGCTTTTATGTGCAATTGAAAAACATTCTTTTGGTTGAAGCACAGGTAGTTCAGAGCACTTAACATCAACTATTCCCTGTACTTACCCCCACAGTTAATGCTGCTGCTGTTAAATCATTTCAGTTGTCCTCAAGAATATCTCTTCCAGTTTTCTAGGAGGATGCTTTAATTTGAAATATTACAGAGGGGTCACAAGTGTATGATAGATAGCAGTATAAAAACTAATTGGGTTGTTTTGTTCTGTTTGAAAATAACAAGTAAAATGGGAGTCAGACTCTTCAGAATGCTGGATTAGTATACCCAAGCCATAACAGTTTCCTGAAGTTACTCTTTTTCTCTGTGAGCAGAAGCTCAGTTTTAAATGCTCTGAAGATCAGAATAAGTGAAGTAGTTGAATGGTTAAATATTTTTCTTTTCCTTTTTTTTTTTGCTTCTATATCAGTAGCATTTCTAATGTTTAAGAGATATTTAATATACAATAAAGCCATTTCTTTATAATTAGATATTAAAAATGAAAGTAAATAATTTGCTACAGAAAAACTCAATATAAAATTTTAAGTGTATTATGATTGGTACTTTTCCTCTTTGATAATTCATTTCTCATTAACAGGGATGTCAAAATAAATGATAAATTAGGACAGTAATCGAGTATTTTTACAAAAGTTGAAGAGTATTTTTATTGCTACAAGAGAAGTTCCAAAACTGGTATTTCAAACATCTTAAGTGGCAAATCCTGACATATTTTAATTTAATTTCCCTATAAAGGAATTGAATAATACAAGACTTTGGTTGTTGGAGTTTTTCTTATTTTTTGTTTAAATGCATGTAACTCAGTGTTTATAAAATCATAAATATTACCAGTGCTATTATTTTACTTTTTGTATTTCATAAATTGGATATCAGAGAAATTTTGCAGCCTGTGAGCACTTAAGAAAATAATCAAATAGGTTAAGGAATATTTGGATGTAACATGCTCTCAGTTCACAGGTACACATTTTGTTGATGTTAAAGGAAGCAGTATGTGGAAATTAAGAAGCTGGTATAAAATTCAAAGAAAAGCCTGTGTCTTATTTGTATGTAAATGTGATAATGCTAGGAACTGTATTTCAGTGTGCTAATCTACACATTTAAACACTGCTCCAATCAGAGCTGAGTGAAATGGATTTCTGGTAGTGTGATACATCTGTCAAAGACAGTGATTTTTGACACTGCTCTAGATAAACTGATTTTACCAAACTTTAGTACAGTGGGGAAAGTAGTTTTTTTTAAATACTGAAACTTTGTTTTTTATGAAGTCAGTATTTTAAATGTTGTTTGAAGTTCTAAGGAATCTAAATTCATGTGAAAAGTTTGTAAAAACATACAATTGTGAAACAAGTTTTTCTGCTTTTTTTTTTATTTTTCTGTAATACCAGGTGTATTCTGATCACGGAGTTCAAGCGTCACATCACCAGCCTATTGTTCAGAATGCTATAGCCATGCCTGCGCCTGTGAGTATCAAAGCTAGTTAAAGAAGGCATTTTACTACCACTGTCCCCATTCTTGAAGTGGAACAGTAAAAGAAGAGGGGAAGGTGACAAAACAGTGAACCTCGTTCAGTTCTTTGAAGTCATAGTTACAGATCCTTGTCTCTGGGTCTTGGGAAGTTGAATTCATTACTTGCAGCCTTACATAAGCACCTCATATTGTGGAGAGGTAGGTTTTTGGATCATGGAGCATGAAAAACAATGCCGGTTGGTCACCCATGGGTATTTTTTTGTGTAATTCTGATTCTTGAATGGCCATTCTAAAATGTGATTCTTCCATGTCACTTAATACAAGTTGCTGGGGGTTTTGGGGTTCCAGTTTAAGATCCTTTTGCGTTAATCAGTAAGGTTGTTGACACAACATGAAATAATGTCTAAACTACATTTAGCCTAGATTTGCTTGACAAGAAAGGACTAAAGGTGCCTGTAGTTTTACTTGAGATTACAGCACTGAGTCTTCTGTGAAAGATGCTTATTCAGCTACAAGTGGCAGACTGGATATGAATGAATCAAAACCATGTTATAGGCATTTTAGTTTGTTTTTAAATATTTTTACATTTTCTTTTAAGAGAAAAATCTTTTTTTTCCAGATTGTTGTGTAACAATAGCTACTAAATACTTCCAGTAGAGGGGGCTGTAACATTAAGTGGTGTCTTGGAATGAAATGCAAGTACTCTAATAAAAAAAAAGCTGAATATGAATTTGAGACATGAATATCTGAGTGATTCATATTTTTAAGGAATACTTAAAAGGGAGTTGGTGTAACACAGTGATCATAATATCCAGTTTATATTCTAACAGTGTATGAAAACACTTTAAAAAGCAATAGTAATTTCAGAATGAAAAATGAGTGAATACTTACTGTATCAGAAAGAAGCTTTTTCACCTTGAAACTTGACTTTTATTATCTTTCCTAGGGCCAGGGCTATACGAGCAAGATAGCATGAAGTAAGTTACAAGGTAGATCTAGAGCACAGCAGCTCTTCCTCTTCTACAGTAATTGCCATAGTACCATGCTTTGCCTTATAGCAAAGGCAAAGAAGTTTACCTTGTGATAATGTGATAAGTTACATGTATATATGCATGCATAGTCAAAGCATGTTTGGTTACTGTGGTATAGGAAATGAGCTGCAAATTCATATTCTTACTTATCTCCTGATACAGTATTTTCTATGTTTATTCATAGCTTTAGAAGTGATTTCACTTACAGCCAAAGCTGGCATAACCCAGCAATTCATTCAATTTTCCACACCACCCATTTCCTTGTGCTGGTAGAGGTTTTTGTTAGCCACTATGGTATACCAGGTCAGGGAACTGATGTAGTTGAAGATGAAGCTCTACTCCCTCCAACCAAAAAGGGTTAACTTACACTTGGTTCCTGAGACGGGTTTATCAAGCAACTGCATGAACTCTTGTATGTATACAAGACATTTGGGATAGGGTAGAGGAAGTAAGATTTGTATTAGCAGTGCAGATTTAAACTTGAGGAAAGTGAGTATGAAATTGCTGATCCTGTCTATTCCTTCACTGTATTTCTTGCTCATTCTTACCCATTCTCTTAAAGTTTGTTACCTGTAATTGAAACTCTGGTCTGCTCACGTCTCGAGTAGATTGACAGATACAGTTAAACCCTTAAAATTGTCAGAATTCAGCAAGTCTTTCATTAATTACAGGATGATGCCAAGTTGGTTTTTACAGGTTTTAGTTTTTAATTAGTTATTTAGCTTCATTTAGTAGTAACTAGTAGTTCTGGAATGTAATTCTTCCTTTTCAAATTTCACCTTACCTTTTCACATACCTGCTCAAAGCTTTGAATATATCCTACATATAACAAGCAGGATCAGCTTGCATTGTGTCTGTTACTGTAGCTGAGCACTCAACAATGGTTGGGTTAAAAAATAAGGAGCAAATGTTGACAGCAGCCTGCCATGTATTAACAACTGGTTGTGTCATTACCACCTGCTCCCCAGCTTCACAAAAATGCTGGTCTTGTTAAAAATACCCGAACAGATGTGTCTGCTGCTTCAAAATTGCCAAATAGTGGCCATGTGAGAGAGAGCAGATGCCTAAAATAACAACCTTATATTGAAGGTCATGTGTGAATTGCCTCCAGTACATTAGGAATTGTGTTAGGAATAAACATACACTTTGTTCTAGGAGCTCTAAGTCATGAGAGCAGGATGGGTACAGCTAGTAGCCAGATACTGTTGGCAGTTGTAGACTTCTTTGAGGTTTCAAATGCAACTTAAAACAGAGTGTGCATTACAGTTTTATTTTAATGATGTCACAAGGTTAAGTGAACAAAATGGATGAAATCTTTGCTGAGGAAGAAAATAACAATTCTAAGTTTGTTCCATTGCTGTTGTGGATGTATAAAAAGAGAAGTTGGTTCACTAATGGTATAGCAGCTAACAAAGGAGGCTTCAGTTCTGGCAATTCCCTAACTTATATTTCATTCTCTATTCTACCACTTATATAGCTTTTTGGTGATGTGACTTTTAGTACAAAATCTGTAATAGCCTTAAATGAAAAGTAGAAAAACACATTCACCAACTTCCAGCTATAGTTTATTTTTTAGATCCAAATTTTGATATTTCAGATCAGGCTTGAGTCAAAAATACTAATCTCCTCCCCTTGCTCCCGTGTTTGCTAATGATCCTGTGTATTTACTTGAAGATGCCTTCTTTTGGTGATTATTGTGTGTTTTGTTCATGAGTTCGTGGAAGTAATTTCATTTTAACATCTGTACAAATGGCTAGGGTTGACATTTGTTTTTAAAGGCTGCCAGGTAACACTTCTTTTTTTAGGAAGCCAGGATGTGGGGTTCATCTCTGCTGGATCTTGTGCAGTGTTTCAGAATCTTGGAGATTAATGTTTGGATGCTCCTAGAGGTCATCTATGAGATTCTGTTCAGTAGCAAGGTCTGTGTGGTCTACAGTAACAGCAGAAACTTGAGGGAAGATTGAAATTCACATGCTTTGGTTTCAGGTCTGGGAGAAATACCTGTGAGTTAAATTTTTGTTTTGGTGGTTGAGTTCTGAGGCACTGGCCTGGTAAATACTTACTGGATAGTGTGTGTGTATGAGGGAGATCCATGAGCAACACAGGCCTGTGGGAGCTGAGCAACATAACTGCAGTCTGCATAAACTGAGCAAAGGTATAAAAGGTGGACATGGAGGTGGGGAGGGTTTGTTCTGTTGTCTCATACTTTTTGTGTCTTTCTATTCTCAGTCATCTTTTCCAGGTACAGTATATGTGTCAGAGGTAGGCATGGTTCCAGGCTGTCTGAGTTTTTTGCTGTTTATATGGTCTGTGTCCAACAGAATGTTTTGGCTGACATACAGGATTATACAGTGTCTTTTCCTATAGGAGACTTTTTAGGTCCCCGGAGGGGGTGTTCTCTTTATTTGAGCTTGGACATTTAGCTTTGTTGGGGAGAATCAGAATTTCTAAACTCTTCACTCCTGTCGCCACAATAGACCAGTTTTAGTTGACAAAGTCTGACGATCTTCTTTAATGCAAATCTGAAAGTGCTGTACACTAAATTGGAGTGTACAGCTATAGTATTTCTTTAAAGCTTACTCTTTAAATGTAGTAAGTATTTTCATGTGTTTTCCTGAAAACCTGATTGAGTCCTCTAACAATAAGAACCTATCAGTGACAGAAACATATCCTGGTTTTCTGATTTGTTTGCATGTTTGGTTCATTTCACTACTTTGTTCTCTATTCCCCACAATTTTTTTTTTTTGATAGCGTTAAAGTTGGGTTTTTTTTGTTTTTGTTTTTTTTTTGTGTGGTTTGGGTTTTGGGATTTTTTGGAGGGAGGAGGGGGGTGTTGCGGTTTTTTTGGCTGTTCTTTTTTTTTTTTTTTTTTTTTTTTTGAAAAGTCCAACGTATTTTTTTTGTTGTTTGAGCAATTCCAGTCTACAGTATATTGTCCATAATTATATTGCGTCTAACTGAAAAGGCAGAGGGGAATCTTCCTATGTCAGAATTAAGGGTATTTGTAGTATAGTTCATGTATATGTGCATTCAGATCTTAATGGTGCATGATGCTAAAACTTTGGCCTTTTGATAGTGAATGTCCTGTGAATTTAGCTGAACTTGGAGCACTCCTTTTTTCTCTATAATGAGAGTAATAAGGTAAAATTTAGGTTCTCTGTGTGTATAATACACTTAAATATACATGTGTTTATATGTGTTCGTATATATACACATGCATCTATATATACATAAATTGTCTTTTTTTTGTAAGAGGAAGTCTTGGTGTAATCATTTTGGGAAGAGCATAGTAATTTTATGCTAGTACTTGTACAATAAGTAGTGTGTTATTGTATGATACTCCATCTGGAGCAAAAAAAATCTTACAAAATATTTTCTGTATAGGTAAGTTGTTTTGGATTTTTTTCCACTTGCAGTGAAACGAAGAGAGAGAATAAAACCTTTGTTCAAAGTTACCTTAGTCTCAGACACATGAATCCAAACTTTAAGGTTGGAACTAGATGATCGTAAGGTCCTTTCCAACACTAACCATTCTATGATTCTATGACATATTTTAACAAGACATTTGTCACCAGCTGCAGTAAAGTCCATTGCCTGTAAAGCAGGTATTTTAAACACCACCAAAACCAAATCTGTTAATTTAACATTAACATTGAAAACTGTAGATGGCATGCTTTTTCTTGCATTGTTCATTCTATGCATTCTATGCTCTCTTTACAATCTTTTCTTTTTCCTTTTTTTTTTTTTTTTTTTTTTAGTTCTAATAGTTTGTTCTCATTCTTGTTTAGTGGGGTGTTTTCTTTTGCTTTCTTTGATCTGTATGTTCTTTCTCTCTTTACTTGACAGACACTATGGAGCATTCAGTATTAAGCCATTTGGGCAGCTCTCGTCTGCCTGCACTGATTTTCTTGTCCTGGCCTTCCTATGTGGCTGAGATCCATCATCACCATAGCAGCTCGCAGCTGCCTGCTGTGGAACTTGCGGTCAGTTGTTTCATTACAATTTGTGTCCATTTCGTATCTGATAGGCTTTGAACAGCTCAGTGGTTTGTAACAGGGGCTTGCTATTGGTTAAGGTGTGATTCACTGTCTGTCTATGTGTCTGTGTGATTTATCTCTAGATGTAGCTTTGAAAAAATATTAGAAGCTTGCTGAGGTGAAATTGAGCATAGTTCTTTTCTTCTGGGACCAGGCAATAGAGAGGAGAAAATGTATTTGTTTCCTCAATATTCTCATAGGAGTCAGCTGGAAGAAGAGTAAGAGAAATAGATTGGGACTGTAAGGTTGATGTAATGAAAGCTAAAGTGAGCAGGGAGACTGGCACTAGATGGTCCTGGAAGCTAGATACTTAAGAAAGCAGCACACAGCATGATGCAGAGCTAGTAGATGATGGAAAGAAACTGAAATCCTGAGATTCAAGTGGCTTGAATATCCTGAGAGCAACGTAGGAGTTACAGCTGGTTGCATTAGAAAACTGTCAGAGCCAGAAAGGAGGTTAAAAAGGTGGGTAAGGTTAGCAAAAAAAAGTTAATGCTGAAAAGGCTTGAGCTTGCAGAATGAGGTTAGAAAACAGGGCTAGTTAGTCTGTCATATGGCATAATAGGACTGAGAAGAAAGGACTCAGATTGGTTAAGAAGGGAATAGAACAGATGGGAGTTCCACAAGTGGGATACAGAGCAGCTGAGATGGAAAGGGAGACTGTAAGAGAATTTGATCATAAGAAATAAAAACAGAATACCATTCTAGAAGCTGTTCTTGTCAGCACCTAAAATGGTAACCCTGTTTCCTGAATCTTGCCATGTCTTTATCAGCAACTAGTGGCATCCACTGACATACTACTTAATCACAGCCAGTTGCCTTTCTGTTGGTTTACAAATAGGACAGCTATCAGTTATTCAGCTCGAGTCTTACAAGTCTTGAGTTTTAGCTACTAAAAGAAAATATGTTAGCATAATGCTATATTCCCATAGTAACATTACAGAGAATGCAAAAGTAAAAAAAAAATAAACAATTCGTTATAATAGTTTTGCACTGTAGCATATTATAAAAGTACGTTTTCCCCGTTCAATTAGAAAGAGAGTACAGTTGCTTTAATAACTTGGCACTTTTACTGAGGCTGTATGATCAATGAACAGAACTTGATTATTTTTGTAAGTAAATTAATTCTTAACTCATTCTAAGATTCCATACTTGTAAATAAAGGAAGATATTTCTTACCACTGTTGACTTCACCTATGTGAATGGAAATCCGCTTTTCCTTTTTGAGCTAAGTCTGTCTAGCTGACGCAGTATCATACTAGACTAAGTTTTTATTGAAGCATTATTAATGAAGTAAATAGGACACCCTTTGAAACAGAAGAAGCAACCAGTATTTCTATTTCTCTTTAGGAACTGAAGCTGCATTCTGTGAGAAGAAATTTTTCACATCATTCATCTGAGTCTGAAACCTCAATGCACATGAAGTCCCCATTTCATCCTAGACACGATTACAGAATGGAAGATAAAATTCTCATACCACCTTCTACAGACTGTAAACCAAATTTTATTTTCTTTTAGCTATCTACTACCTATCACATGGAGCAGATATTCTTCCTAACTCCTAACGTTTGCCTGAAAATGCCAAAGTTAAATAGTACTCCTTTTTGTAAAGTAATCAAATGAAATATTGTAGTTTGGACAGGCAAAAACATGTGAAACCGTAATTTTTATCCTGCATTTCCTTTCTTAGTAAAAATACTGTTACAAGACAAAATGGGGATTTCTGATACACAGCCTACTGTATAAACTTTGTTTACTAACATAGATTGAAAATCAGCATATTTTTTATTAAAAGGGAAAGTTAACATTTAATTTCTGGATTACATGAACTTTAAAGATACGTTAGTTACATAGTAAATGCCATTTTCCCACATACTGACAGCATTTATGTGCTGCTGATTGAAGTCTGGTTATTTAAATCTGTGCATTTTAATTCCAAAAGAGTTTGCCTACTTTTTTTTTTTTAACAGTTGGTATTCTTCACTTTTTTTGATAAATTTGGATGACTAGTTTATTCTCATATGAAGCTGACATGTTTCTTGTGTATGATAAGCAATAAATTTGGATTTATGGTATGTTTTTAGATGTAGAAAAAGGCAAGATTTAACTTATTGCTATTACAACACCGTTGAAAACTTCTCCTTGCTTCTTTTACTTTTTTCTGTTGTCTGTGCCCAACTTAGGTACTCCCTGGCAGTAGCACAAGTTGAGATTAAACACTGCTTCCTCTTCAGCTACAAGGAGATAGCTTCCTCTTTTTTGACTTGCTTCTCCTCTCACCCACTAGAATTGCATCTGTTTTATAAAAGGCTGATTCCTCAAAGATTAAAATACAGCCTCTATTTAATAGGAGTGCAGGCTATAGCTTATCACTTCTGTAACACTGAGGTCTTTATGTAACTATCTCTCAGCTTTTCAATTTTATCTACTCTATAGTAACATGGAAGTTATCTTTTTGTGGGGCTTTTTTTTGCTTGAGCTTTTTTAATTATTTAGGCATCTTATAGAGTGGGCACTGCAGTCAGTAAATATCTGTGTATAATATGTAAATATATTTAAAGATTTATAGCAGTTAGTAGCATTTTTTCATATTGTGCAGGAAGAGAGGTGGACTCCAGTTCTGTTCTTATGCTGTTTGCAAATTGTTGTGAAAGGAGATGCCATGTACCATGACTTGGTTGCAAGTTTCTTCAAGTGACTTTCTGCCTTTTGTTAGGTAGAAAAATCTGCACAAATATAACTTAATAGCTTCTATTTTAAAATACTTGTTACTATAGCAGCTGTGGGGGATTGTTTTACCAATTCATATAAAAAAAGATACACAGTTTATCGGATACATGGGGATTTCAGCCCGTTCTTGAGGGGGGAAATAATCAACTGCTGTAGATGTTGTATTTCTGAGCCATTCTGTACAACTAAAAACACCTGTCCAGTTGTTCTTCCATTCGATATGCAGATTTTAGAATTCGTTAACATAAATATATTACAGACATCTTGGCACATTATGACAGTAATAGATTTCCATGGAGAAATTTTTATATAGTCAATTATATTTTTTTAAGGAGGTGATGTCTCTGAAGGTGCAAAAGAATGGCTCTTAGAGCCTTATTTATTGTATCATGAAACAAATGCGCATTGACCCAGAGTTCATAATACTTAATCCCAAGTCCTTGCAGGAAACTCCTTTCAGCTGAGGAACTAGCTTGCAAGTTTACAAATACTGTGCAGTCACATGTTATCAGATTGTGGCTCTAGTCCAGATATTCACAGAATGTAGTTTATTTCCATTAATTGCTGCAGATGTTAAATTGTTGATAATGAGTTGATCCCATGGCCCTTGTTTCAGAGAACATTTACTTTGGTTTTACTTGCATATGCACTTGATCATTTGGGAAGGATATTCAGTGTTAGGCACGTAACTATACCTGCAGCATTCTGCTGTGGGTCCTGTAACATCGCTGTGGAGGTACTGTTGGATTTGTATCACCAGGTCTTAACAATGCTTCATGTTGACTTGAGAAACCTATAAGACACCAAGATGATGCTCTTCATGGTGGCTTTCCTCCAGGAGCCATAGGTCACTGTAGAAATACTGAGAGCTCTCTGTTGATATTGTAGCTTATTTTTCTTCAGAATGCTCGCCAAGAATGATGGCATAACATCAAACCAGTCATAACTGAACCTTTAAGTTTATAGTGGTTGCGTTCTTCTGCAGACGAAATTGAGGCACAATAACTGACTTCTGGAATTCCATAACAGGGACACACAAATGGTATATGGTATGAGAGAACTACATTGTTTCCTCAGGTAGAGCCTACAGTTGCATTATCTTGATGTTCTAGCATTCATGACTTTTTTAATTCTCTTCAACTACACAGTTTTATTCTACTGACACTGAAAATTTCTGTAATGTGGGAGATTCTCGTGCTCTTATATGCAAGTCATTTAGTTAACTGCAGCTGCTAAGTGCCCGGTCCCTCGCCGTTTTTTTGGGGGCTGGCGAAGGGTAACATTCTCTTGGGTCTTCTGCATTTTCCTGTTGATAGTTACAAGGCTTTACACTTGCACATCAGATTAGAACTCTGCCCTATCGGCATTCAGTAACTAACAGCAAATAACTATCTTTGTGCACTACTTGTTACATTCATGCGTTAGCAAACTAGATCAGTTTTCTGGCTTTCACCCCTTAGAATTTAGAGACCTGGCTAGTATTGTTATCTACAGAACTAGTTGTTACAGTATTTCTACCAACCGTTGTCTATTTCATGTTATGTTTATATGGCAAAATGCTAATGCTAACATTGTCTATAAGATAATTCTGAATAAAAACCTGTAGGCAGAAAAGTTCCTGAAGTTACCTCTCTCCTCTGTTTTGTTTGATCGACGACTATTTTTCATGCATTAAGTAGAATTCTCTAGTTCACTAATATCTTTGGTTCCTGCTGCTTCTAGTGTAAGCATCAGAAGTGCATTCATCGTCCTTGAAAATCTATTTACTTTTTTAATTGGGAATTCTTTGTATTGTGAAATTAATTTTAAAAATAGCTGATACTAAGTAAATGGCTAAACTGCATTGTAGCAGTAACTGAGCAGAAAGTAGTAGAACACATGGCTCCCTTGAATCGTTTTTCTCTGTTTAACATAGTTCCGAAGTGTAGGCTTGTAAATAGTTTTTTATAGCAAAAGTCACTGTAAAATAGGTTTGTAATGTTGTAAGTACTACAGTAGTTTTGATTCACCTGTATAAAAGTTTCTTCTGTTTCCTGTTTAAGTAAAAAACATACACATTTTAAATCAATATTTTAAGAATCAAAAATACAATGCTAGTGTGTTGATACATGTGTGTGATCCTGTATGTAATCCTTGTACACTGTTATGCAGAAAATCCAAATAGATATATAGAAAGCAGAACAGTAATGCTTTTAACAATATTTAATAATGTAGCCAAGATGTAATGGGAAACTGTAGGTCTTATAAGGCGTTCTTTGACTTTTGGGTCACAAACAATTTAAAGAAGTATTGAAACTAATTTTAAGGGCCCGATATGATCATATTGTACCTCTGTCAGTGGTGCTGTAGTCTACATAAAGTGTGTATATTAAAGGCAAACTGAATGCTGTCCATAATACTTCCAGTTGTTTTTAATTGGATAAACCAGAACATCCAATTTCATTCTCAAATGTGTGACTTTTAGTTGATCATATGGCTGGGTTATTTGAAACTATGTGGCAGATGCAGATGATCTAGCTACTGCAGCTTTGGTAAGAGAGATACTGTGGATATGCAAAATAATAAATTTGTAGATCTCGTTTAAGAGAACTGTTAGTAATCTTAAATCTAAAGCTCTTTATGTTGATGCTACTTGTAATATAGCAATAATAAACAAGTTTTTGAAGTTTAACTTCTAGTAAAGTTGTGGGTTGGTAACTAAAAGTTTTAATTCACATTGGTCAGTGTTTACCGTTTGGATTGTAACTTTTGCTTAATGGTAGTATTGATGAGTATGGGTTTAGAAAAATATGGAAAAATGACATTGAACTTTTATCATTAAACTGTGCTTATGCAGTCATTGAAACAAACTGTTGTCATCTCTCTTAATTATTTTTAGAACATTAAGTTAAATGTTATTGCAGAAAAGTCAGCTTTTTCGGCTCAAGTCAGCGTGTTTAACAAGACTGGTCCTGGTACATTCACAAAATTTTTCCTTTAAAGGAAAAAAAAGAAACTTTAAAGGCTACCAAGTAGCATTCAGAATGAAACACCACTGCTTTCTTAATATATTTAAATTATGGATGAAACAGCTTTAATCAGATCATTCTACACAAAGAAGAACTAAATGCCAGTGTTAGGTTGAAGCAATAGTTCTTGAGGATGAATTTTTTTAATGGAATTTTTTTATGTTATTATCCTGTCCCAAGCAAAAACTTTACATTTGCCTTGAGTCATAAAGTAAAGGAAGTAAGCCTAAAAAGAAGTTCAGAAAGGAACTGTGAAGGTCAAAAGTGTTGTAATTTGAGATGATTAATATTTGGGGGGTGGGGTAATGCATTGGTTTTGAGTGCTGTAACTGTTCACATAGCCACAGTTTCTGAAGAAATCTGAGTCATTTAACTTGGGTTTGTGATTTGTCCCCTTGTGTCTTACTGTGTCTATGTTCTGTTTAAAAATATTCTGTCAGTGGTAACTGGTCTACAACCAATGATAATGGTGACTTTTTGAATTTCCTTTTTAAGTGGTGCTCAGATGTGCTTTTTCTAAGCTGCAGACATGGTAGGTTATCACCCCAAGTGAGAAATATGTTTGGTCCAAATACTGTTTTACGTTTTGACTATTGATTGAGTCATATGCTCTTTCAGTGGGGGTTGCTGTGATTACCACACTTTGGTGAATCACAAGGTAGTTTTAGAGATTTGTTTTTCTCTGATACCAGTTCTCAGAGCCTTTGCATTTTGGGTCACTTAATCAGCTCTTGAATCCAGAAACTGTAGGATCCTGTTCCTCTCTGGAGTCACTTGACTGCTTTAATGCAGTTTGACCTCCTGTGAGGGATGTTGCTAGTTCTTGGTTGGTGTTGGCTTGGGTTTGGTTTTCTTAATTCTGACACATTCGATTTTTGATTTAATTGGTTCAGTCTAATGGCTTTTGAGTCACATCTGCAGTGGTAGCTGTTGACTGACTTCCACTTGGCAGTTTGTATCTACTTAACTAATGTAGGGTTACCCAAACGAAGGACCATTGTTTTTATTCGTAATAGTGTTTCTGTGTAGGTGTCTGAAGAGCTCATTTTATACTATGAAAAATCCTATCTTGGTGAGAGGGTTGAAATGTGGTTTAAACCTTATCACAAAGAGTTCAAAACACAATATTCTGGCCCCATTATAAATGTAGCTATCTTTAGTTAAATAAAAAAAAAAACAAAAGGGAAACCAGCTGGCAATTGGACTAGTGCTGCAAAAAGT